TGTCACTTTAAAATGTGGGAACCAATACAGCAAAGAAATAAATGCCAAGACGCAAATGAATAGGTTAAATCAAACGATATATATATTACAGAGAACCAAAAGACAAAACAATATATATACACAATGCCACAAAATATATACAATAAATCAGAATAAGCATGAATCGTGCCGGCAACATAAACTGAAACAGTCCTTTGGTATAAGGGCAGGATTGTGCAGTTACCACGAGTAGTAGGTAGGGCACAGGTCCAGAGTCACAAGACTAATATACTGACACCAGGAAGCAAGATCAGAGGCAGAATAAATGAACAAGGCTGTAGGGTCAGGATCACTGGTAATAAAGCAGAAAACACAGAACCAGAACACAGGATCGGAGGGCACAGGAACGAAGGACCTGGAGGACACAGGAACGCAGGATGAGGAGGACACAGGACAAAGACCAGGAGAACACAGGAACGAAGACCAGGAGACGCAGGACACAGGAACAGTATGCAGGATCAAGGAGCCAGGAGCCAGAATCACAGGGAACCAGGAACCGGGGAAACAGGAGACAAGAGACAATGATCTGGCAAGGAGTGAGGGGAGAAACCAAACTATATAGGCGCTAAACAAGGACCAGGTGAATTGCTTAACGAAAAGAAATGAGAAACAGTGCCAAACAGAAACAGTGGTGAGTGTGAGTACTGCATGAGGGCATATTAACTAAGGAGTGTCGTGACATCTGGGAGAGAACTCACATGTACCAGAGCCCAATCACCCATGGCTCTGGGTTTGAATTGCTTCACTTGAGAGGGATAGTTCCCACAGCTTTATGTCAGGAAAGGTGTCTCCATTCAGTCAGATGTATATATGATTCTCTGTGCCGTATTAGAGGAATAGAGAAGCAAGGACCCCCAATTGAGTAGTATTTAAAACAATTTATTAACATAAAAGGTTAAAAACTCTTACTTTTAAGGTGGTTATGCCAGCAAATAACCCACAACTCAGCAAGCATGTGTAAACCAAAAATGTCACTAGCGTGCAGTCATTTCCGGGTATCGGCACTTCCTGATTACTTGATGCTCTTGGGTCCGCCTCTCAATGACGACCTCCGTGACACATTTCGCTGACCTCCACTGGACTTCTTCCGATGACGTTCTGATATCCAGCCCATCCTTTTAAGTCCCTAGGGCCTCCCCTTTCTTCCTCCTATTAGTCAGGGGGCACAGTGTTTTTTTCAAAACATACACTTAGTCCTTCCCCCTTTGGGGTTTCATTTGGGGGCTGACACTGATATCCATATTAATCTTAATATTAGTCCTCCTATACCTTGCACAACATACCTCTAACTGGTAATACTTCACATTAGCTATTACTATTTCCTGTAAATAAGAATTTTATTTATAACTTAACTAAAGTGCCTTTCTCTCAAGTACATTGCAGAACAACCCATATACATTTACATCACCACTAAGGGAATATTCACTGAACAACATAATCCTATGCTAAATTAACTTAAAGGGACTTTCCAGTGCCAAGAAAACAAACCCATTTTCCTGGCACTGCAGAATCCAGCAGTGCCCCTCTCCCTCCCACCCGCATCTCATGTTGCTGAAGGGGTTAAAACCCCTTCAGTAACTTACCTGAATCCAGCGCCGATGTTCCTCAGCGCTGGGTCAGGCTCTGTGCAATGGCCGTGCGCACGCATTAGACCTCCCCATAGGAAAGCATTATTCAATGCTTTCTTATGGGGATTCTGGCGACACTTGAGGTCCTCATGCATAGTGTGAGGATGTCCAGCGTCGTTTAAA